GACGGGAACCGTGATGAGGAGGAATGCAGTCACTGCGGCGCCGGCTTGTCCGGCCCGCCAGCGCTGCGAGCACCGCCGCCGCGGCCGCTGCCGCCGCCGCCGCCGCCGCCGCCGCCGCCGCCGCCGCTGCAGCTGCTGCCACCGCCTGCCCGCCCACTGCTCAGCGCCCTCACGGCCAGCCTCTCCGCCTGCAGCTCCTTTTCCACGACCGCCAGCCGCTCCTGCACGCATGGCGGCATGCGTAGGCGCTTGCGTTTGGTTTCCGCATGAGTTCTGTCGTGCGGCTGTGCAATGACGCCCGCCGGGGGGACGAAAGCTCAGCAGCAGAGGACCGCGACTGCATGCGAAAGAATATATGCTTGATGACGACGCCCGCGCATGTGACACCCACCTTTAGCCGACGGCGCTCCTCACGGTGGCAGGGCGGCTGCTGCTGCTGCTGCTGCTGCTGCTGCTGCTGCTGCTGCTGCTGCTGCTGCTTCTGTGGCTGCTGCGCCCGTGGCTGCTGCTGCCGCTGCTGCTCCCGCCCCAGATGCTGCGGCTGCTGTGTTGCCTCTCGCGCGTCCTCGATGCGTGTTCCCGCTTCAGCCAACAGCATCCCCGCCATGCCGTCCGTCGCCGGCGGGAATATGCGCTCGGTTGTATGGTAGTAGGCATCATCCTGCGCCCGGGTACCAAGGCGTTGCCCGCGGCCCAAACGCCCGAATGCGAATGCATGCACACCTCGTGCTGCACTGATGCAGGCATGCACTGCCAGCTGAAGGCGGGTGCTCACCCGCCGCTTCCTAGCCTCGCTGCTTGCTGGCTGTGGTAGCTTCTTGCTGGCTCGCAGGTTCTCGATCAGCTCTCCACGACACCAGCCAGCCCATATAGCCTGCCGTTTGGGGTCCATGGCGACAGCACTAAATGGATAAAACTCAGGTAGCGATGACACACTCTGGATTATTTGGTGTTGAACTTCGCATAATCGTTTTTGGTTACTTGCGATTGACTAGGTGGTTGCGGGCAGTTCTCGAGTCACAGATGATCAGACCGCGAGCCTCCGCAATGTTTGACCGACCGGGTACCGTAGAGTGCGATGCCAACGTCACATACTACTACACACGCACACACATGGGGCTTGCATGTTGTTCAGCGTGGGCTCCCTGGTGCGTGTGGTTGTCTCCCGCCTCAGCGCCTGGTTGAGCTGTAAAACGTCCCTGGCAGCGGCCGTATGGGCTTCAAAACCACCATGTGGTGCCACATCCCAATGAACATACGGCTCCTGCTCTTTTTTTCACCTGTGACTGCAGCTACTGCGGCCGGAGGCCCTGCTGGCCGCCCTGAAGCGGTGTGTGCGGTTGGCTGCAGGCACCCTGAATTGTGCGGTGCGACCGACCATGGGCAGAAGCTGCCACTGCGTCTCTGCAATCAACTGACGCGGAGCCGTTGCTTCGAGCTAAGGGGTGTCATTGCAAGGGACATCGTGGCCCAGGACGCCGACGAACCGGCGGCAGCCATTACCGGCGCGGTCCAGAGTACACTCCTGCATGTGTGCGGCCCCCAGGGCCAGAACAGGGAATTCGGGACAAGGCAAACTACCGATGCAATTTCTTGGGCCGCGCTGCGGACTGGCACCCTGGCTGCTCTGCCTGCCCAAAGCCGCGCTGCTGACCGGGCAGGGCTAGGCAGGGCCGGCAGGATATCATCACACTGGGGCTTTCTACAAACTGACATCACATTGATGAAACTGCAGGTTGAGGGCAAGCCTAGCACGGCCGCCCCCGCGTGCCTGGTCGGGCAACCCGCCATCGGCACGCATCGGGTGCCTGTGTGGATCCCCAAAGGGCCGTTGAGCAAAAGCGACCCAGTGCGCCTGGATTGCAGCGGCGCCTGCCGGTGCTGCGCGAAAGGTGAATGTGATCACACATGGGCTGCATACGGCACCCTTCCGCCTTTGGGCCTGCGCGCCGTGCGCCGGGGTCTCGGGGTGGCCGGGGTGTGCAGTGCCAAGCGGACTCACGCGCGCGAGTTTCAAGTGTGTGCATGCGCCGCGGAAATGACATGCGTGCAGGCCTGCTATACGGGTGATATTGCTTCATAATTGCATCGTTTGTCGGATTGCTCGCTCGCCAAAAGCATGACGCCCGACGGAAGGCTCAGTGGGGTGTGAGAAGATCGTTTTGAGAGGCTGCCTGGGTATGGATGCAGCGGAGAGCAAACAGCCGGCAGGCGACACTCACAAGGATGCCACGGTGCCCAATAATAGCGCGGAGCGGCGGCGCCAGTGGGTCGTCGGCGTGTGCGAGACGAGCAGCGGCCAGAGCGACCGGCGCGCGCGGCGAGTGCTCACGTCCCACTTGCTACGCACCTGCAAGGTGAGGCATTCTATGCATGTGCACGAAGCAAATCGCCACCATGCGCCGCGCTTTGACCGGGGCGCCGCGCCGCATTTCGGGGACGGGGCCTGCGGGGAGCCGCCGCGCCCCCCAAAGGGCCACCCCCGACCAGTTCGTGCGGCGGGAAGGCACGGGCGGGCCTCGCACGCGGCGCCGCCGCCCGGATCACGGCCGCGAGCGGCCGCGCCCGCAGGCGCCCGCAGCCCCCGGCCCCGCACCCGCCCATGGGCCGCTCGGGTCCATGAATTGCCACGCCCGCGGTACGCGTTTCCGCTCGGGTGCTCTTTACGCCGCGCGCCGCTCCGCCCAAACCCCACCCCGCCACTCTATCTTCTCCTTTGCCCGCCGCCGCCGCCGCCGCCGCCGCGCCCGCAGGGCCTCGCGCCCGTCGTGCGGGCGCGGCCGGGCATCCTAATCGCGGCCGTCGCGGTCGCGGCGGTGCTTGCAGCTGTGAGCGCCGTGGGCGTTATCCTGGCCGCAGAGGCAGAGTCCGAA